GATTAACTCGGTTTGTAAAACATACATCTAGTGGTCCTTGAAAACTCACTTGTACTGATATGTGTCAATTTTTTACCCTACTCATAAAATTTGGATAAAATTATTATAATTAAAGTACAATAATATCTATGTTATGATGAAGACAGCTTGTAAATTGGACTTATAATGAATTTTGAAAAATTATTTGATTTAATCAAAATATAAACTTTTACAATTTACCCACCTTAGAAAAATGTCACCCTTGACATTTCTCGCTATTGAGAGTAAAACAAGATAAAAAATTTTTCGTTAAAATTAAATCAATGATAAAATCAAATCATAAATCAATCGGTATAATTAGTAAAAAATAAAATAAAATACTGATAATAGACGCATCAATCATATCGTTCATATCATTCAATAAATTATAAATTCAATAAGGCAACTCATTCTCACATCTATGCATGTTATTCAACATGCTATGCAATGATATGCTCTGTTGCTTCTATCTCTCTATTGATGTAATTTTCTTTTCTAATTATTTCAACACACAAACTTAACATACATATAAATGCAAATAAATCAATCAAATATGTAAATAGTAAAATCTATATTACTTAACTTCTATCCCACTCATAATCAATCTTATATCTTTGACTACAATTTAATTCTTTCAATAATCAATGTTCTGATAACAACTGTAACATCCCAAGATCTTAATTTGAAAGAATTCTTAATTTTTATCTCTGAAGTAATTTACTAGAGTCACTAAAATCTATCAGTTTAAATAAATCCAGCAAAATTATTTATAAATCATAAATATAATTTATAATAATTATGAGATTTCAACAATATCAATCTATCGTTTTTAAAGTTCCTTATTATAAAATAATAGAACAAAACATATAGATAAAAAGAAAACTTGTAAACACAGATCAACCTCACTCTAGAGAGTCCTAATCCCTTCCCAAACGTGAAAACAATTAAAAACCACATAATAAGCTTATAATGCCAAGATGTTTATCAAAATTCTATCACTCCATTTAATGTAAGGAAAAATAATCAATATGTATGCTCTAGTTCCAATCAATATCAATCAGTAAACTATCAATATGAATGATAAATAATTTATGCTATCAATATCAATTAATAGTAAAAATCAATATGATCAGTAAAACAAGAGTATCTTATTAAGCAAAATCAGCCTATCAATTTATTAAAAAAAGTAAAATTTTTATAAATCTATAACATGTGTTGTTGTGAAATAAATGTAAAATATCTATCAGTTATATTCATATTGATGGTTCTTTTATTGTTGACCCTTTCCCGTAGCTAGCAAAGTAGAAAAAAAAGAAAAGAAATTTAAAATCCCTTACAACGGTACCATTGCAACAGGTACCGAAGACCCATACACGCTTTTTTTAATGTGGCGGGGGATAAAAAAATACACGGCCGCGGTGTCCTCGAAAGAGGACACCTACCATACACGCTTTTCTTAGCGTGGTGAGAAAGGCCCAGTTTTCCGTAGTTTTCTCATAAACGGGGGAGACGCTGGGAGGCTGCCAAAATTTCGGGTGAAATATTACTCTACTCGAGACCTATTTTGAATTCAAAAAAACATGCAAGAATTGGGACTCAAATGAATAAGAACAGAGGACTTGTGGACTTGTTGACCTTTGAACTTGATTGAACACAAGCAGGGGACCTGAACAAAATCTGAACGATTAATCAAGGCTCAAACCCAAATAAAAGTGAAACCCAAATTCAAATCAATTGGAACTTACTTGTAAAGACTTGCAAATTTAAGCCGAACAAAATGACAAGAGGACTTGAGCATTTGAACATACACTTGGGATCAAATTCAAATATACTAAGTATGGAAGACACTAAAATTGAACAAGACTTGGACTGCAGAGGACTTATACTTAAACTTGCATCCTGGACTCAAATTGAACATTAATGGACTCGAGCAATTCGAACTCAAGCGAGTGCTTGACTTGGACTGCAAGGGACATAGAAATGAGCTTGCACACTGAAGCTCATGAACTTGATTTGAACTGGACTTGGAAGGGTTCAGACTTGAGTCCATTTTGAACATCATTGGCCCCTTACATTTGACACCAATCAAACTACAACACCTCTTACGGATGTATTCAGTGTACCGCATAACGAATTCAAATGCGCACTGGTGTCAGCAGTCATCCGACCGAAGACAAATACATAAGAGCTCGTACAAGTAGAAGGTAATTGATTGGCACATTAAGTGCAAATACCTACGATCCTTTGTAGGAGGCCCGCTGTATATTCGACACATGTTTGTGGGAAAAATGTGAAATATTTGCAACATATCACAAACATATATGAGTACGGTGTAATAGACTCCTAAGACAATTCCTACAAGTGCCTGTTGATTGAGATGGCAATACTGAAGACTAGCAATCAAAGGTCTGTCCCATACAAGAAAATGCAATCATTCAAAAATCACCTGAGATTGGTGAAAGGTGGATATGATATGGGAACAGTGGGTCTTCTACGAACATCTCTAGGAGGTCGTAGCAAATACAACATATCCCTACAAACAAACACGAGCCGCTTGTGGATAACAACAATGGGTATATCGTAAGCACATCGAACCACTATGGGCACAAGTATAAATATCACCTACGACAACCGTGATCAAGATCTTCAAATATTTCGAGTACAAGGGCAACTTGATATACGAAAAAGAACACCTCCTGGCAGAAGGAAAGAAGTGTTTTGAATAAATTAGAACTAAACTTCCTGGTGTCCAAAAAATTCCTCCTCGATCCTATACTCAGGAAGGAAACCAACTCCGGCATCCACGAACATTGAAAATAACAAGTCCACTCCACTGATGATCTTAAAAAGAGTCTATTTCAAGGCAATGGCCACGGACTTCAAGAAGACCCTCCCCGGTGAATGAGAAAGGGGGGAGTCAATATCAAGACCAAATCGTCATAGGATCTGCAACATCTATGCAAGCAGACAGAAGGCGTCTACAATCTACAACGCCACGCCACTAGATCTGCAACATCCTTGTAAACGGACAGAAGGCATCTATAAATTTTTTCAAAATACTCCTGCACGTGCATCGTAGCTTGTATGCACATAGGTGCACAAAGGGGTATGTTGAATCAATGCAATCACAAAACTCGCAAGGGCCCCGACGATCGTGTTATTGGTACACACGTGACGTCTAGGGATGCTGCACGGGTTATTAAATTTAAACCCGATTCTCTTAGGCAGGTAAAAAAGAGTACACATGGTATAATTATAAAATGACTCCAAACACCCACATAGGCCCCGACGAACTTGTTTTTGGTACACATGTGACGTCTAGGGATGCTACGCGGGTCAATAAGTGAATTTTAGTTCAAACATGATCCTTCTATACGAATCAATAGAAGTCGACAGGGTTCAAACCTTTAAACAAATACATGATTGTGGCGACCAGTGTATTTATTTTAATACATTCATATTAGGCATTCAAAGCCTAAAATCAATAGAATTCACTGACAAAGGCATAAAACCTATGAAACTCGATCCTCGGTCAACCGCTCGGCCGAGTCGACAAGGTTCAATCAACAAAGAGAAATGACCCCAAATACCCCGATGATTGCCGTGTTGAATGTTTATCTCAACCGGAGGGGTTCAAAAATATTTTCAAATTCCATCCAAATACCTGAAAATCAAAACTCCACAAAGTCCAATTCCCAAATCCCAAATTCTAAGGTATTTAAATTAAAATCTACCCATCAATGCTTAAAGTAAAATCCATCCACCCTCCGCAAAAGTTTGCTGAGGTGGACAAATTCAAATATAACTTCAGTTCACAAAGAGCTAAATGCCTAATCGAAAATATCATTAGGATCCATTCTTAAACAATCTCCTGTCATTAAGGACGTGGTACGTGTCCTCTGACCGACGGTTCGCCGCCGACGTGAATTTTGCACCACTAAATACCGGTTATGGCCAGAGCCAATACGCTCCTTAATGGCATCAAATCCTTGAGATATGAATCAATAGGATATGATCGATAGGGCACAAAGCCCTATGTTAGCTAAGGTGGATTCAAATTTGTCCTTTTAGACAAATATTCACCTCAGGTCTACAAGGTCCCCTTGGACGAAGCAACCCATGGCTGCCGAAAAGGATCCTTCTGTCAAGTTGGGTTGACTATCTTCTCTGACTAAGTAGACCAGGGACCATGATGGCCTGGGACGACAGAACCATGGGATCTTGATCGGGTATATCATCCATTCCTCCACCATCTTCTTTAAGTGCAAGATGGTGCAATTTATGTTCTAAATATAAACTCCATCCAAATATCCAAACTTTCAAAATCCCGAACCCACTGCTGCTACTATATGCCAGATAACACGTATTCTCTACGTATCTTATTGACGACTAGCCTTAATCGAAAGTTCTCTCTCATTATCGGGAGGGGTAATTAACTATAGGGGCTTGCGCCTATAGGAAACAAGAACTTATATCATAAAGTCCTCGTAAAATGAGAGCGAAATCTTTGGGTAGTGTCTTATGTGCAAACCCATCTGCCTTCCAAAATTTACCTCAGAACTTATCCGTTAAAACTCCCTCGCAAAAGCAAAAGAAAATCAGTGCGCGACAGGGAGGCTGGGGCCGAATTTTCGGAGCCCACAGCTTTCTGGCAACTCCGCTGTGGAATGATTTCTCTTTCCATCTCTAGCTAGTCACTAAAAGGTTATAGTAGCAAGTAAATCAAATTTTAAATTTCCTGAAAATGAATCTTTTAAATAAGATCATTGGAAATTCAATCAGCAGGGTTTTAATTCTGTGCTATTTTTCCTGCTTCTATTATTTGTTCTGCGTTATTTCTACATTATGAAAGTGTGGGGTGGTGTATAAATTTTTATCACTAATCCCTGCCTTTCATTTTTGCAGAATGGAAATGCAGGGCACACCGATGACCGTCTAACTGTGATGAGGAGCTCGGATTCTGCTGGGAAATGCTTCCATAGAGACTGGAAATACTGGTGCCACCATCCACTTTGGTGGACTTGAATTCTCAGCAGCTATTGCAAAGGCTGCAGCTGTCCCTGTGTACGGCATAAATTCTGAAGAACCTTCTGAAAGGTCTTATTCTGCAAGGACTACTGCCAGAAGTGCTGCTCAAGGAAGAATTTCTGTCTTTGAAAGGCTTTCCCAACCTGAGATCCTTACTGCAAAAAGGGTTGTTGATGGAAGAAAAATCTCAATGGTGACTTCCAACACCACTACCCTGCTTAGAGAGCCTATTGAACCTGGGAGATATGATACTGAAGCTTCCTCATATGGAGGAAGGCTCAATAGAAGATAAAGGAGGAAGAGAAATGCAAAACTGCAAGCTCAGCAATTGCCTGTACCAGTCCATCTCTCCAACTTGCCAGCACCAGAACCAGAAATCAATATCCTCACTCAGAACATGTTTACTAACCTGAAGTGGATAAAGAGAAACAACTATTCTGGCGAGCTCAAGCAATCCTTCTAGGAGCGTCAACCTGAAGCTCCAACCCCTCAGAAGACAAGAGAGCCTGAACGTCTATCTGCTCGGGTTCATCGAGTTCTGAAGACAGTCAAAGAGAATGGCCTAATGAAAAAGTGGTTCCAAAGGACACTGATTGTTGAGGCCCGAAGAACCCCTCCTATAGAGAGGCTATCATATGCTATGATAACTTAAAGAAGAGGTTATCGACAACAAGCTCCGCGCGGTGAACATTGGGGCGTGACACCTGAACCTTATGTTCGGGGATCCACAGCCAAAAGGTCCCGGTGGAAAGGTAAACAAGTTTACAAGCTGAAGCATCGAAAAGAGAATATTATTGAAGAAAGAAATAGATCAGGCGTTACATCCGAAATAGTTTCCCGGAGATCTGCCCCTGCCAGCAAAACTCGTCAGAGATGGGTCCAAAAGAAGGCCCATAATGACGACAATCACAATAACGGTCGACATCCTGGAGAGACTTTTAGGAGATCCCATTATATTCCTACTTCAGCCAAAGAGGAAGTTCACTTTGATCATAGTCCACGGGTCGAAGAAGTAATCACTCCAAGTTAAAAACCTAAAATTCAGTGGAGACGTCGCTCAGAGATTTGGGTACAAGAAGATGAAGATGATGTTGGTGATGAAGACACTATGGAGATCGAGGTGGTTCATATGGTCAGCCACATTGATGAGGAAGATGATGATGGTGATGAAGATGACCAGCAATCACAGCCCCGTACACGTGTTTATCGTCATCACCACAGGACTCGATCCATTGCCAGCCGAAGTGCTCGCTCCTCAGAAGAAGGAGAAGAAGAGGAAGAAGTTTGAGAAAATCCCTTCGCTGGTGAAGACATCACACTCGTCGAAATGAGAAGACAAATGAGGCGAAAGATGCGTAAGAAAGACAGAGAAATCTCTCAGTTAAATGATAAAATGACTGAGATGATGACTTAGATGACAGTCATGATGGAGATGATGCAGAAGACCACTTTTGTGAGTCCTACATCAGGTCATCCCATCAACCAAGCTGCTAATCCTCAAAATCTCCAAGTGCCTCAAACCTCAGGAGTGAAAGGTGTACCTGAAGGTGGCGATAAGAATGATGATTCGACCAGCCAGCGTACTCCACAAAATGTGGCAAGTGCATCTGAATCTGTAACTGCATCACAGTTTGAAGGCTTAATCAGTAAAAAGATCAAGGCCATTATAGTTGCTGAACAGGCAGAGAAATTGGTAGGCAAAGGTCGCCCGTACCCAGCAGAGTACGATCAGGTGCCGTATCCAAAAGGATATTCTGTACCGAAGTTTAACATCTTTGATGGAAATAAGAATCCCAGACAGCACCTCGCACAATTGAAAGCTACTTGCGGGAATACTTGAGGCAATGATGCTTTGTTATTTTGATAATTCGTCAATAGCTTGAGTGGAACTGCTTTTGAATAGTACGCTGAACTGTCGAATGATTCTCTGAAGACCTTCGCAGAATTAGAGGCATTATTTGTGAAAAGGTTTGCCAGTCCAACTGAGAAGACTACCATTATTGATATTGCACTTGATAATAGAAGAAAAGATGAATAAGTGACGAGGTATATAACATGCTGGTGCAATCTCAGCATGAAGTACAAGCAACAACTATAAGAAGAACATGCAGTTCAACTGTTGATGGGGAACATTGATGATAAAATGAAACCCTTCTTATGCATGGCTTCTAATACTACCTTCCAATATCTGTTGGATAGGGTGGCAAAATTTGAGAAGTTAAACTTATCAAAATCTGAAAGCCTCCCTGGCAGACCCAAAAGGGCCAAGGCGCCTAATGCTAGGAAAAATAAAGTGTACTTCGCATTCCCTCCCAGACCTGATAAAGGTAAACGGGCAGTATATAAAGTGGATAAAGGAAAGCAATCAATGCAATATGAAGAAAAATCAAAACAGGCTTACAACCCTAATCCCTCAACCAAAGTTGGTACTTGGAGGAAATGATAAACCTCGAGCCTTTCCCGATGGAGGAGATGGTCAGAGGCAAATAATGAGAACTGGTGATAGAATGTTACCCTCCCTCAAGGAGAAAATGAACAAAGAATATTCATTCAAGAGGGAGAGTGTCGCCAAGCTATTCCGACAAGCACTCAAAGCTGGTCTAGAATTGCTAGAATGTAAAAGGTCTGAAGAGTCTAAACATAGTGGCGACCCAAACTACTGCCCGTATCATCGGGTAATTAGTCATCCAATTGAATATTATTATGTTTTCAAAGACTGGTTAGAGAAGAAGTACAAAATGGGAGAATTAGCATTATCAGATAATGTGTCAGTTCATCCCAGAAAGGAATCCACCTGGGTAGTCACGTCCTCTTCCGTACTCCCGCATAAAGAAACAACAAAAGAACCTATTCAAGATGAGCAATGGGAGACCGTGGTCTCCAAGAAGACAACGAAAATATTGAAACAACTAGAAGGAGTTCCTGGTGTCAAGTGGAAGTCTCCTGCTGAGTTAGTACTGAACTTAAGGTGGTTTCCTGTATCACATGCATCCACCTCTAAACAACAACCTAGTCAAGCTAGCTCTTCAAAATCTGGAAAGTCAAAGTCAAAGTCTTCCAAGAAGAAAGCCAAATTGAAGAATCCTATGGAAAAGAAGACTGCAACTCAAAAGGCTATTGATAGTTTGGGTGAATATTACCAGACTGCCAGGAAGCCTATTAAGCTCAGTGATTTTATAAAAGAGCTCAAAATAGATGAAACAAAAGAAACTGAGGATGAATCTCTTCCTACAGAGACATGCCGAGTCATCTCAGTGACATCAAAAATAGCAAAAAGGGAGAAATACGCCGAAGAAGTGGCCCCTGAGTTCTGTCCAATGGTGTCGTCAATGGAATTCAGTTCAGATGATCTATGTTTTCCAAATAATGAAGATTTAGACCCAAGCATAGCATGGCAAATGAAGTAGGTGAAGTTGGGGGATGATTCTGAGTCCACAGGCGAATCTCCAAATGCGATAATGGCTGACTTTGAAGAGAATGCTTCATCAAATAAGTTTGAATCAGACGAGGTGGCCCAGGTGCAGTTGAGAAGTGGCAAAATACTTTCACCTCCACCAAAGAAGGGAATTCCTAACAAAGATAAGGGAAAAGAGATAATTATCAATAAAGATATTATCCCCGAAAATCCCAAGAAAAAGAATACTTCATCCAAGGGGATAGATTACAATATCTTATTCCATTTGAGAAAAGTTCAAGTACAACTCAGCATATATGATGCCCTCTTGATGTCTAAAGACCTTCGGGAGACTTTGATCCAAGCTCTCAAAGACCCTTAAAGATATGAGGCATATTTTGCTGAGCATAACCTAACCGAAGTCTTGCAAGCTCAGAATGAGCCAATCATTTCCTTTGATGAGGATGATTTGATGCTTGGAACAACAGACCACAACCGCCCTCTGTATGTTAGAGCTGAGAGTAACAGTATGATGATCAGTCGGATTTTGATCGATCCTGGATCTTCCATAAATCTCATGAGCCTTAAGGCATTAAGATCATTGTGCCTTGATGTGGAACATCTTGGACAAGATAAACTAATGGTGCATGGCTTCAACCAAAAAGGGATGAAGACCATTGGATCATTTAGGCTTCCTCTTGTATTTGGGGAACTTCACACAGAAGCCAAATTCCATGTGATTGATGCAGACACTTCATTTAAGGCTCTGTTAGGTCGCCACTGGTTGCATGAATATGGCATTGTCCCTTCAACATTACACCAGTGCATGAAGTATCTCAAGGAAGGAGAAGAATTCAAAATTTCTAGTGATATTCAACCCTTTGCAGTACATGAAGTAACAATATACGAAGATGCCAGGTATTTCATGCCAAAAAGAAGCAAAAGCCTTCAAGATCCCTTGAGGCTAAGGCATCAAATTCAAAGACTTCAAAGAAGCCCAAACAAGAAGGTGAGAAGAAGCGTGTGGGAAGAAAGAAGGCAATGCCGACTCTTCCCAAAGCATCAATCAGTTCAAAAGAAAGGAAACATGTGCCTCACCTTGGGAGTGACACATATGAAAGTGATGTCGCCCCTACAAAACCCCAAAAAGTAGGTCAGTTTGCGTCCAAATGGAGCAGGGAGGTTGTATACTCAAATAATGATTATGTTTACGACTCTATCTACATGAACACGGTGCAGGGTGTATTATCCAGAAGGATAGACAGCCTGCCTATCTCAGATAGCATACTTGTAGTCACGAGAATTCCCCTACAACACTTTAAAGAGATCATCCCACACGAGGTGCACAAGATTCAAGAGTTCACTACTCGTTATCTAGCTCCTCTTAAGAAGGGGACTGCATTCGGAAACGTGCTATATTTAGCAGGAATACGCGAAGAAGAGAATAATGACTGGTGTTGCATGCACCTTGATTCTGAAGAATAATTTCCTACGAGGCTACCTAGGTTTAATACCAAAGGTATTCAAAGAATGCTACAAAAGCAGATCAATGTTCCTACCACTAAAAGACAACTCCGTACATGTCTGGGCCTCTAGTATGGAAGGAATCCGCATCCACTACGATAGAAGGATATAACTACGTATAAAGGCATCAGATTCATCAAACAAAAATACCTCTGGAAGGAGAGTTGTCGAGCAATCACGTATAGAGAAGTCAAATCCGATAATGATGAAGAGGAGATATATGAAGCCAATGCATATGATGATCAACCCGTAGAGGTCAAACCTGCACCAGAATAACTGGAAGACATGCCCAAAAGACGACTTTCCATTCCTAGTATCAGAACTTCTAGTTGATAATACATCCAACTACGATATGTTCTCCTTCATGGACGGATCGTCGGGTTACAATCAAATCAAAATGACGCCTAAAGATGAAAAGCACACATCAATCAGGACGCCCATCAGCATTTTCTACTACATAGTCATGCCCTTTGGCCTGAAGAATGCTGGTGTCATATATCAGTGGGTAATGACTCATATATTTGATGATTTGATTCATCAAAAAGTCGAATGCTATGTAGATGACTTGGTCATTAAGAGCACGGACCGAAAAGATCACCTAAATGACCTGAGAATTATTTTCGAGAGGATAAGAAAGTATGATTTGAAGATGAACCCTCTCAAGTGTGCATTTGGGGTATCCTCAGAAAAATTTCTAAGATACGTTGTTCGATATCGAGGCATCGAAGTCGACCCCAATAAGATCAAGACAATTATGGAGATGCCACCTCCAAGGAACCTTCAGCAACTTCGCTCCCTACAAGGGCAATTGGCTTTTATTCGACGATTCATATCGAATCTGTCGGGTAGGTGCTAGCCATTTTCAAAATTGATGAAGAAAGATGTTCGTTTCAAATGGGATGATGAGTGTCAAGAGGCTTTTGATAGCAACCGCCTTCCTCGCTGGGTTATCATCAAAATCATAAACCATAGATCCGCAACAGATATCTATTGAATCCTCCTATCGTTGCGGCGCCAATTCCGGGGAAGCTTCTTATACTGTATACGGCAGCACTAGAAGAGTCCCTCAGAGTACTATTGGCCCTGCATAATGAAGAAGGCAAAGAAAATGCCCTCTACCACATCAGCTGGAGGTTGATAGGAGCAAAAATCTGCTATTCTCCAATTGAGAAATATTGCTTGGCCATGATCTTCGTAGTTCAGAAACTCTGCCACTATATATTGTCTCACAAAATCACCTTGATATCAAAGATCAATCCGTTAAAGTTCATGATGACAAGACCAACGTTGATAGGTCGTTTGGCAAGGTGGGCATTGATATTCTTGTAGTTTGATATCACATATGTTCCGCAAAAAGATGTAAAAGGGCA